GTGCCTATAGACCACCCTGTCATTCAGGCTGTTACTGCTCTACCCCACCCCCTGCTGACGGAGGGACTACCAATGGTAAAACTAACAGTAAAAGATCACAGAGCAGAGGTGGGGAGTGGCATATTTTTGGCTAACATTGATAAAATACTTGACTTGACTTTGACTTGGTATTCATGACTTGAGACTTGACTTAAGCTTGAGACTGATGACTTGAAAGGACTTGACTTTTTCAAATTAAATATTTGCGTTTGTTTTTGTGTTGAGATATTACATTTAGTTTTTTCAAAATGTGATTGGGTGATTATAGCGCCGTGCGCGCAAACCTGGCAACTCACTAGACGGCAGGAGTCTCAGTTAACATGGCAGCGGCTAGCTTTACTCCACAAATAGTCAAGTTTGGATTCAAGGATTATTTTGTCGATGACGCTAATAAGAAGAAAACAGCGGTATGAAGGGTCTGCAGCATAAAGATCAGTGACAGGACCACCACAACATCCAACTTCATTCGTCACTACAAAAACCCCCACAGAGAAAGGTGCGTGGATGTGTTGTATTAGCTAGAAAGCTAACGTTAAGTTTAAGCTACGTTAGACTTGGTTTCGAATCGATTAAGCATTGCAAAGAGAAGACAACATGGTAAATTAACACTAGAACCGCCAAGGGATTCATTTAGACTAACCCTGATACTGACGGGCTGTCAGGAGAGGGAGAGAGAGAGAGGAAAAGAGTATGAAGGTAAATATCCACGTAACTGTGAACCAAATTTACACTTGTATAAAATATCCACGTAAATGTAAATATCTCTCCCACTCTCCCTCTCTCTCTCTCTCTCTCCCTTTCTCTATCACACTAAATGCGCTATTGCCACACACACACAGAGCCGAGCTTGAATGACACAAGCACACGTGTATTTCCATGCAACTCTCTGATTGGTCTGGTGTCTTGCCTCTGTTGCGTTCACTGAACACGGGAAATTACAGTCCTGCCGTTGTCTCTTGTGTCATGATGAGGTTCACGTAAAGCACGGTTAATGTATTATATTATTGAGGTTTCTCAAACATTTGAGAAACCTCAATAATATAATACATTAACCGTGCTTTACGTGAACCTCATCATGACACAAGAGACAACGGCAGGACTGTAATTTCCCGTGTTCAGTGANACACTTTTGTTTTCTGGTGTCCTTTGACAGCTCTTGGTCATTGGCCATAGTGGAGTTTGCAGTGTGACTGTTTGAGGTTGTGGACAGGTGTCTTTTATACTGAATAACGAGTTCAAACAGGTGCCATTAATACAGTTAACAAGTGGAGGACAGAGGAGGCTCTTAAAGAAGAAGTTACAGGTCTGTGAGAGCCAGAAATCTTGTTTGTTCGTAGGTGACCAAATACTTATTTTACACCATAATTTGCAAATAAATTCTTTAAAAATCAGACGATGTGATTTTCTGGATTTTTTTTTCTCATTCTGTCTCTCATAGTTGAGGTATACCTAGGATGAAAATTACAGGCCTATCATCTTTTTAAGTGGGAGAACTTGCACAATTGGTGGCTGACTAAATACTTTTTTCCCCCACTGTATCTGAGACCTATGCTATTGCCTAGAAATAGCAGGATAGGTGACCTTTAACTTTGGGAACTACTTACATTACTTTCCCTCTTCTAACAGCGCTGCTCCCAACACGAAATCCTACCGTAACTAAACCGTAATGCTGCCAAAATAAAGACACAATTCATAATTACTTTGTGTATTATTTAGTAAGAGAAGTCACGTTTTGTTCGTTGTTGAAAACAGTTTGGTAATCCGGATGTAACATTGTAGCAACCAGACAAAATAAAACCTATGAACATGACTTGTTTTGTTTGTTTTCTAAGCTGGATCTTTGTGTTTGTTCTTCCAGTTGACGGAGGAAACGTCCGAGGTGCTGCACAAGCTGGGCTACTCGTGTGAGTGTCGGGGATTCATCAACGTGAAGGGCAAAGGGGAGCTGAAAACCTTCTTCGTGTGCACCGACATGAGCAAGCAGCAGGGCATGGGTCTGAGCTGAGGACACACACACACACACCAGTTTACTGCTGCACGCCTCCACACACAGAAATACGAAAGGCCCCGCAGTGTGGTGGATGCGAGAACAACTGGAAAAACATTTTTGTACTCCGGAGCTGTTGAGCGGATCAGGATGTGTCTGTCATGGTGGAGCGAAAACGGACAATCGCCATCTTTTTTCTACGCACATTAACGTCCAGTGATCACTTTTGTACTTGTCCTCTTGTCTTTAACGTAGATGTTGTCGTACTAATGCCAAATAATACAGGTAAAGGACGTGAAGGCCTTTTCAAAAATAAAAAATAAAAAAACAATGGATACCGTTTGGATCATAACTTCAATGGGTTTAAAGACGGATGCTCTGTTACTGTGTAATGAGCGTAACATATGTAAGCTGTTTCTAAAACAGAAACTGGCTGATTAAAATATTAAAATCAATTTTCTTGCTCATTTATTTGGGTTGTATTCACATCACGACAAAGTAGGACGCTTGAAAAATATCCTGAAGTGACTGTATCAAGACTTTAGCCCTTTATGTGACAGCTTTGAGATCTGCCAGAGAAACAAAGATATTTGCTGCATTTCTAAAGAGGAAATATGTGCTGTGTGTGCATCGTCTGTTGAAGCGTTTGTTCTGCTGCACAGAGGACGCCTTACCCCCGCCTGCTGTGAATGTTTTTCTGCCTCCGGCTCAGACTATCACCTGAACTGATGTCCCTTTGTCCTGTGGCCTTATCGTCTGTAATCGTGGTTACATAATAATACTGATAATAATAATGTATTGGCCTTCATGTGAACAAATGTGACATTGACTTTTGTACAGTGACAGAATGTAATAAATGTTTTCCTAAGTCTGCAGTTTGATGCACAAGAGACGAGGTTTATTGAAGGAAAGCTACAGCACACAAAAAAGCACCTTTCGTACAAAAACTTAATAACTGTAAAAGTTGAGAGGAATTTAATTAAACAGCGATGATTGGAACTGAATCCGTCTCCATTGGTTCAGCCGTCACTGGAAACAGAAAAAGGTGAAATATATTAGAAGTTTGATTCTTGATGAAACATTATTTTAAATGTACTTCTTCTGCTATTTGAGAATTATTCAGAGTAGGTGTAGAATTCAGATCCTTTATTTAAGGTCAAGTACTAATACCACACTATAAAACAATTATCTGTTACAAGTAAATGTCCTGCATTTAAATGAATAGAAGTGATCCAGAATCATGTATTTGAAGTATAAATAGTACTAAATGCCCCCTTTGATTGTTATCCTATTATATATTGAACCATTAGATTCTTTTGTATGCATTCATTTAAGTAGATCTGCTTTTTAACTACTTCGTGAAAGGGATGAATATGTGTATTATGGATGAATCTGCTGATTAATTATCCAATTAGTGGATTGATTGTTTGGTTGTAAAACAGGAAATGGATCGTTACAAGTGACACCTTTTTTGTCCATTCAAAAGATCACAATTCAAAATGCTTACAAAGTAAATGGACTTGTTAACTGTGTGTAGTTTAATAAAATAAAACATATTTTACAAGCTATTTCTATGTTTTGTAAGCAATGAAGGTCATTTGTTTAAAACTAGTGACTAAAACCGCATGTAAAAATAACCATATCTCCATCTTCAAGTAGAAAGTACATTTACCTCAACGTCATAACAGAGTAAATGCACTTATTCCACCACAGACGACCAGCACCATGTAGTTTACACTTTGATAAAAACAAATATAATACAAGTGTCAAACAGCAGTGATTATGTCCAGAGAGGAGATGTACCTGTGGTGAGGTCGATGAAGGGCCCGGGGGGGTCCAGAGGGACGGAGATGCCCATGGCCCTCCGGATGCCGTACACACTGCTGACGTCACACGGAGCCACCTGACCCGTCAGCGCCGCCAGGTTCCCCGTCACCTTCTCCGCTGAGAGGAAAGAAAACATTATTTGTTTGGTGCAACAGGTAACAGTATGATAAGGAATGAATGCATCACACTACACTTGCTCACACAAAAACTCTTAGTGTACCTTTTCAGTGTAGTTCAGTGGAATCATAATTGGGGTTTAGGCCAAGTCACATTCATGTCATTAGATTTGATTAGATATACTTTATGATTTCAAATTGGGAAATTGTTGGTTGATGTGATTTAATGAACTGTTTTGTTTTTGTGCAGGATCAGATGGATACTTTTAGCTTCATATCTTCTCCATATTTGAAGTATACACTTTGATTGTATGTTCAGATCACAAATTATAGTTAAATGGGACGTTTCTTTATTCTACGTCAAATCCAAAATGTTTTCTCTAGGGAGTGAAAACATTCAACAGTGACTAATCCTTTCCCACAAACACAATTAGGGAATCTTTAAAGAATACATCCCTAGGAATCAGGTCAATGTACTGATATGAATCCGACCACCTTCTAACTGTGACCTCTTTAGGTGGAGGTTGGAGGTCTACAGCAGGTGGAGACAGCCTGAGTGAGGGGACAGAGAGGGGGTCAATGGGACCCAAACCATGTTCTGAACAGAGAATATGAACTGCTATCATCTAATGAGAGATTCAATAAAGTCAGACTGAAGCATCTTTTGAAGCATCCTTTGAAGCATCCTTTGAAGCATCCTTTGTGTTCCAGTCAATCCTCACAGTAAACACAGAGCTGAATCCAGATCAAATGCACGCTGAAGGCTCTTTGTTTTCTCTCAGTGATCGTGCTGTTCTGTTCAATGTTTGTTTGTCATGTATTGTGTCTTGATATGTGTCCATGTTGATGTTACACATGAAGCTGCTGTGATGCAAGTCAAATGTCAAACTTGATCCGACCATTAAAGTGTTATCGTATCGTATTATCGCATGGTGTTACCCAGCTCCAGCTCCTTGGTGGTGGGGGCCAGCAGGCAGATCATGTTGGGCGGCTGCTTGGCGCTCAGACGCTCCCTCTGAGCTTCCTGTAAGTCACGCAGGAGCTTTGTAGTCTCGTCCAGTTTCTCCTGGAAGTGCCGGGCCTCTGAGGGAGAAAGGCGACACACAGTTAGTTAATACTTCCTCTGGGCTCCTCTGATTACCGTGTGGTGAATTCCCCCCCGTGCTACAAAACATCCATTATGTCCTAATCCTCAAATATCTCACGGATACATCAACATCTGAGAGGGCAGAGGGGGAGGATAGACTTTTGATGGGCTTTTAGGAAGATTTGAGAGGAGACATAATGGCTCAGATAACTGCTGCAGTTTTGAACTACCTCAATGGAAACACCATTTACAGTGTAATTATGAATCTCTCTGCTCCTATTGACACGCAGCCAGGGAGTGTGAGTGTGTGTGTGTGTGTGTGTGTGTGTGTGTGTGTGTGTGTGTGTGTTAGTTCAGTTGTATAGGTTTTCTGAGTCTGAACTGGAAAATGCTACGAGCAATTTGACATGTGCATATTAATTTCACATCTGGTTCCCACATGTATCCTCATCAACGTGGCAGGTTTAAACTCGTATTCAAGCAAAAGATGATGAGAATATATGAATAGTTGAAGTCAAAGAACAATGGGAAACATTCTCTAAGTCTAATACCTGCTTTTCAAATGTGTTGCTGAAGTGAAGTCTAAAGAATAAAAGCATGACTAAAGTCTCTCTTCTTTATTGTCTGTTGCAGCAGCAGCACACAATGAGCACATTCAGGAGGACTGGGAACTGAAGATAAGGTTATTTATTTACACAGAGGCTCAAGGGGGAAACAATAAGGAGTGTTTTAGCTAGACTTGCTTGATTGGATTGTTCAATTAAATCTGATGACTAAAAACAAGATTTGTGAAAGTTAATATAAGACTTACGTGCCCAAACTTTACAATGAGGTTCATTCAATGTGGTAAAAACTAACAAGGACATATGAGAGAGGAGTCTAATGGCGCATTTCCACTACAGCGCGGTTTAAGCGTGCCGTGCCCGGCCCGTTTTTGGTTGCGTTTCCACTTGGGGTAGTTCCGGCTAACGGGTACTTTTTCACAGTATTTCTGGCTCTCCAAAATCGAGGTTCTTTCCGGGCCAACAACCGGGCTGAGTCTGCTAAACTAGAGAGAGAATCGCTTGCAACTACAACAAGATCAACATATTTGACCGTGATTTAATTGTAATATACGTTTCAAAATGATGCCGAAGTAACAACATACTGATACTGGTTAGTAAGAAACATGAATTAATGCTTTGACAAGTCTGCAGACTGACGGCAGGCGAAACACCTTTTAAAATGTGTGTTTTTTGAATGGAGATCGGCTAAGCTAACGCACTAGATGCTCCGACCGCTCCAAGCTCACAACAACGGCCTACAGACATAAATAAACCAAGGGGCGGGGCCGGCGCAGCAGCCAGCCCAACATGAAACACAGCAGCAGGGAACGATGAACGCAGCAATAGCAAGTGGAACACAGCAGCAGCAGCATTAAGGAGGCAGAGGCAGGAAGACCCTGGCCAGCTTCAAGTAGGAGCGGCATGTTTAGGAGGATGTGATTTTTGGGTTGGTTGTTAGAGGGACGAGGTGCCGTCACGTGTTCGATGTATCTTTGGTGCCCCTTGAGCTTGGACTACCCCTGGAATTAGCTCCCAGGCCTTCGGACCATTTGTCGGACTTGAAATAGACACGGTGTACCCAGCTTTAAAATGCTATGCGATGAGCAATGTTTACAATGGACAATTTAACAAAATGAGAGGAGAATTAACTTCATCTTGCTCAAACATATTTGTGTCACGGACGGAGAAAAGGATGGGAGCTGATTTACAAACATATGATTTGGACTGGCTGACGTCCTGATTCACCTCCCTAATGTTCGTATTGTTCGTACATTTGTACTGGTTTTTATTTTAACGCCATTTGGGGACAGACAAACTTGAGATGTATAATTACGTACTGTCTTGAAAAAACACTGATTGTTTGGTTGCCAAATGTCAATAAAAAATATGATTACAACAAAAAAGCAAATAGCCATGTAAATGTTTTACCCCCCCAGGAGAGCCGCTCAGCTGTGGCGGGAGCAGGGAAGTCCAAGGCCGCCTGCCAGTCGGGTGCCTTACGGGGATCAGGGCTTCCTAGCGAGACATGACGAGGGAGGGGGGCGGCGGGGGGAGAGACATCATGTTAGTGGCGAGTTTTAGGGAAAAATCATTCCTCACTAGACACTGACGCCCTTTCAAGGGGCGACATTCCAGGACACTTCTGGAAGCCCCTTCAGCTCACGCTGCCCCCTCACCACCGATAGAATGACACTAACGAAAAGCTGCCAGCCCAGCAGACAGAGAGACGAGAGAGACGCTGGAGGGGGCAAGGCAGACAAAACGACCACAGAGGGGTTCTGTACGGGCTGACGAGAGCAATGAGGGGAGCCGGAAGGGAAGTTATCGTAAAGGGAACTGACGAAAAGAGAGAGGGGAACAGGGTAGAAGAGAAAAAAAAAGAGTTTCGTACGAGTAGACGGAGAGAGAGAGGGGAAACAGGGGGGTTTCTGTACGAGCTGACGGAGAGAGGAAAGAGGGAGGGGGGTTCTGTACGGCGACGGAGAGAGGGGGAGGGGGCAGTTTCTGTACGGACTGAGTAGAGAAGGGCGGGGGGTTTCTGTACGGTTGACGGAAGAGAGGGGGGGGGACTACGGTTTCTGTATGGCTGATGGAGAGAGAGGGAGGGGATTTTCTGTAACAGCTGATGGAGAGAGGAGTTCTGAACGGACTGACGGAGCAAAGGCAGGGGGGGTTTCTGGTAACGGAACTGACGGAGAGGGAGCAAGGGGGTTTACTGTACGGCTTGACGGAGAGAGGGGGGGGGGTTCTGTACGGCTGGATTGGAAGAAGAGAGGGGGGGTTTCTGTACGGCTGACGTGAGAGAGGGGGGGGGATTTCTGTATGGCCTGACGGAGAGAGGGGGGGTTGGGGTTTCTTCTACGGCTGACGGACCAGATTGGGGTGTGTCTGTACGGCTGACGGACAGAGGGGTGGGGTTTCTGTGACGCGCTGACGGAGAGAGGGGGGGGGTTTCTGTACGGCTGACGGGAGAGAAAGGGGTGGGGGTTTTCTGTACGGCTGACGGAGAGAGAGGGGGGGGGTTTCTGTACGGCTGACGGAGAGGGGTGGGGGTTTCTGTACGGTTGACGGGAGAGAGGGGGTGTCCGGGGTTTCTGTACGGCTGACGGACAGAGGAGGGGGGTTTCTGTACGGCTGACGGAGAGAGGCGGGGGTGGTGTCTGTACGCGCTGACGGGAGAGGAGGCGGGGGGGTTTCTGTACGCTGACGGAGAGAGGGCGGGGGTTTCTGTACGGGCTGACGGAGAGAGGGGGGGGGGTTTCTGTAACGGCTGACGGAGAGGAGGGGGAGGGGGTTTCTGTACGGCTGGACGGAGAGAGAGGGGCGGGAGTATTCTGTACGGCTGACGGAGAGAGGGGGAGGGGGGTTTCTGTACGGCTGACGGGATAGAGTGGGGGGTGTCTGTTACGGCTGACGGAGAGAGGTGGGGTTTCCTGTACGGTGACGTGATGAGAGGGGGGTTTCCTGTACGGTGACGGAGAGGAGGGGGGGGGGGGGGTTTCTGTACGGCTGAGGAAGAGGCGGAGGGGGTTTCTGTACGGCTGACGGAGGAGAGGGGGGGGGGGGTTTTCTGTACGGCCTGACGGAGAGAGCGGGGGGTTTCTGTACGGGCTTGACGGAGGAGAGGCGGGGTTTCTGTACGGCTGACGGAGAGAGGGGGGGGGTTTCTGTACCTGACGGAGAGAGGGGGGGGGTTTCTGTACGGCTGACGGAGAAGAGGGGGGCGGTTTCTGTACGCTGACGGAGAGACGGCGGGGGGTTTCTGTACGACTGACGGAGAGAGCGGGGGGGGTTCTGTTACGGCTGACGGAAGAGGGGGGTTTCTGTACTGCGACGAGAGAGAGGCGGGGGGGGTTTCTGTACGGCTGACGAGAGAGGCGGGGGGGTTTCTGTACGGCTGACGGAGAGAGGCGGGGGGGTTTCTGTACGGCTGACGGAGAGAGCGGGGGTTTCTGTGACGGCTGACGGAGAGGCGGGGAGGGTTTCTGTACGGCTGACGGAAGGGGTTTCTGTACTGCTGACGGAGAGAGGGGGGGGTTTCTGTTACGGCTGACAGAGAGAGGGGGGGGGTTTCTGTACGGCTGGACGGAGAGAGGGCCGAGGGCGGGGTTTCTGTACCGAGCTGACGGAGGAGAGGGGGGGTGGCTCTGTAGCGGGCTGGACGTGAGAGNAAGTTCATCTCAATACTTTGTTATATACCCTTTGTTGGCAATGACAGAGGTCAAATGTTTTCTGTAAGTCTTCACAAGGTTTTCACACACTGTTGCTGGTATTTTGGCCCATTCCTCCATGCAGATCTCCTCTAGAGCAGTGATGTTTTGGGGCTGTCGCTGGGCAACACGGACTTTCAACTCAGTTTTACGGCGTTGTTTGCAATTCGCCCAGCCAATCAGAAATTGGAACCTCCCCAGGAAAGTACCACCTCTCTAGCAGGAACTATCTGGGGGTGAAAAGGTTCGCATGAACTAGGTTCTAGTTCCAGATCTTTTTGGTGTGAAACCAAAAAGTACTCCTTTGCGAAAGTGCCTTATGTGTGAAGAATAATATATGTTCTACTGTGTAACATTTCTCTCTCCCCCTCAGGTTGTCAGGGACAGTCAGGTAGCAGACTTTTGATTCAGCAAAGCTCAGGGCCGTCATCAGGAAAGCAAAAGGAGATCAACTGTATCAGCCCATGCTACAGAAATCATGTTACGGGTCAATTTATCCATGCTATTCAAGGTAACACTAGTGTTAAGAGACAACCATTTCACAACGCTGGGTTGTAAGGTTTTCACAATCGCAACATTTAAAACTTTAATACAATACTTGTATAAAGAACACAGCGCTCGTACGGATACCAACTCATTTATAATGGCCTAATAGTATGTTAACAATAAAACATAAACTATTGAATGACCAATTTATAACAGATATCAAAATAAAACGGCTCCAGGTTATTCTGAAAATGTAATCCAACTGAAAAACAATTGCATTATATACAATTTAAGCTTACATATTTTACCCCCCCAAAAGAAAACAGGTACAACATGGCTGTATAACAACACGTTTGTTCCAATTTTATGAAGTTGATTGTACCCCCTATAAGCTGCTCCTTGCAGCAGTTGTTCTTCCTAAGGTCAACTTTACCACTTTATACACAATGCATATATAGATTCAAGGCTTTTGTCATTCGTACACAGAGTACTTATGTCGATGAAAATCTTAAGTCACAGGCTCCTCCAACAGTGCAACACAATAAAACAGATAAAATAGTGCAAGTAAATACAATAAAATAAAATGCAATTTGTCAAATCACATTCCATTTTGTACAGAATGACAATGACTTACAGTGTGGCAAAAAAGTATTTAGTCAGCCACCAATTGTGCAAGTTCTCCCACTTTAAAAAGATGATAGGCCTGTAATTTTCATCCTAGGTATACCTCCACTATGAGAGACAAAATGAGAAAAAAAAATCCAGAAAATCACATTGTCTGATTTTTAAAGAATTTATTTGCAAATTATGGTGGAAAATCAGTATTTGCAGTGCATGACATTAAGGATTTTTGGGAGATGGCCCTGTGGGCCATCGAAGCTAATTTACAGATGGCCCTGAGCCCAATAGAGATTGCCCTGAAAAATGTGCACGGACGAAATGGCACGAAGGGTTTGGGGGGCCTCCCCCTAGAACAGGGATGGGCAACTTTGATGGTGGTGGGGGCCACATAATTAATGTACTGGCCACCAGGGGGCCGCAGATTTACATGGAACACACACACACAAATTCCATGTGTTGTATGTAATTATTAACAAATATACTAAGTCTGACATCTTCATTGACATTTTACAATCAAAGGGAATGAAATGTTATTTCATTTTTACAAGTGGCATGTTTGTATTGAATAGGTTATTAAACAGTGGAATAAAACGATTGTAAACTATTGGAAAGCACGGAAAATGTCTGTGTATTGAGATGAACCATTAAGATGACATAAACATGAAGTCATGAACACTAACCCAGATATTAGTTGTCTAACTTGAACCTAAAACACTTGTAGCCAGTCTCTGCATTCCCCTTATTCCACAATAAGGGGAATGTCAACACGGCCGCGCTCTGCTGTTCCTTAGCACCACTCCCCCTCCCTCCCGCTGAAATTATGAATGAAAAGCGTAGTAATCATAGATAACACGGCAGGGTCCGTGACAGTTTGTTTTCATCTGATTTCAAATAAACAAAGTCTTGGTTTTAAGAATATTAAACTTGTTTCGCCAAATTCAGATGATAAATACAACTTTTAAGCTTGTAAAGGCATAATTACAAGAGGCAACTTAACGTCACAGCAGACATAACAACAGCCGGTGTTTCTTGTGAGGGTTTCCCCGGGAAACACACACAATACACACAAATCCATCACAGATTATTTTGCTGTATTTGAAATCATGTACGCAGCTCGCGACGTAACTAGGAGACTAGTGGACGGTATCAGTACTACAAGTAAAAAAAAATATATATTTATTTTTTAATTAATTACGTTGTTTATAAATTAATCTGAGGGCCGCAAAAAGAGGAGGTGGGGGCCGCATGCGGCCCGCGGGCCGCCATCTGTCCATCCCTGCTGTAGATAAACATGTGCAATAGTTCAAATAAGGAGCATTAAAAGGCACACGCTTACACATGCACATCCTAACTAAGTCAAGTCAATATATGAGTTCTTGAATTGTGAAGAAGTATTTCAGAGTATTATCTTATTTTGGCACCACACAAAACTTAAGAAAATAAGGAAAGAATTTCATAAAACTAAATTATAATTGCAAGCACCAGCAAACTGAAATGGTAATATAAGCTATGTTATGTCGAATAAACAACATGCAATATAGCTCAAATCACTGCAAAGAGGTCATAAGACTTCCACTAGTACAGTGGTTAAAAAAGGTTTAATATGATATGGCTAGCTCTCATTTGGGAAATAAAGAAGGCACAGCTGTCACACGCAGTATACACAGAATACATATGGGTTTGGGAAATGATGCTAAACAGCTTGCAACCTCTAACTTGTATTTACTCAGCCA